ATATATGTCCTTCATCTCATCCGTATTATCCCCCAACAATATAATGCGTTGCACATTACGGGATATAATGTTACACAGAGACCAGTGTATGATCAAATCATAGGAGGCAAGTGGATGGGGATCTGCTCAGAGCTCTGTAACATGATATGCCTCCATGTGAGGGAGCAGCTCAGTCCCTCTGGAACAATGTGAAGGAAATGTATGGGTCGATTGGAAAAAATAATGCTACAGTGATGGCAGCTGCACAAGCAACACACCTCCTCTTAATAAGTGCATTATGTCATTACAGCGAGACAAATGGCAGCGGTTGCCATGTTGAGGCAGAATCATTTGGTCAAACAGGAGCGGGTGTTCGGTGAGAAGTACGTGCTTGTTCTACGCGGCGCAGTGTTTATTGTTTCATGCATTATAAATGTGGTATTGAAATTTAAAAGACAGCCCACGCTGTGCACCTTCATCTTCACCAGCTGAGTGGAGTGATATGCGCTGCAGCTTTTCTGAAACATTCAGGTGAATCTTTCATTGCACATAAAAGTATCAGCTTTACAGAGGTTGTTTTTTTTTGGTGAGCTCAGAAAGATCCCCGAGGCAAGAACCAAGAAACAAAAGCTGTCTCACTCCACAAGTCAGGGTAATGGCTCTCCATGTAAGATGATGCTTTCCAATACCAAACCTAATTTCAAGACAGGCTGCCCTCAGTAATAGTGAATACAGCACTGCAGATGGTGTAGAGACATGTACACATGCTGTGTATTATGGCTACAACTAACTATTATCTTTATAATCGATTCATCTGCTGATTTTCTCGATTATTGAAAAGTAATTTGGTCTATAAAACAGCAGATATCTTTAATATGATGACGACCAAGGTAATGTCATCGAATGCTTGGTTTTGATCAACCAACAGCCCAAAACGTTATTCAATATGGAAGAGTGTTAAGACAAGAAAAGGCAACTCGTTTTCACATTTGGGAGGAAGAAACCAATGGATTTGGGGTATTTTTTGCTTTAAAAAAAAATTAACAGAACAGTTGCTGATTAATTTTCTGCCTATCCCTATTCCCCCTCACTCCTGTGCACTCTGTGCTTTCTTCAGCGAGGACAATTCTGTTTTTGAACACTGAACATTCTACGGCAACAATCAGTGTTTGAACAACTCGGCCTTGACACCCATTCTGAAGGCAAGAAGAGTTGCTGAAAAGTGTGAAAAGATTAAAATGTTACAAACAAGTTCTCTTCTAATTTATAAAATACATGTTGAATACTTCATTGGAAATCAAAGCTTGGTCCATTTATTAAAAAAAAATTATTGCATCCCCAAAACTGAATTATTCATGATAAAGAAATCAAATGTGTTTTCTTTCCACAAACAATGCTGAAGATGCATTTTTTGGGGGGGTGTTATTGCGTCTTTCAAAAACCTGCGTGCGCCACAAACGCCAGAACACATCACATGGTTGAAAAGATGTCATTTTAAATTACATTTTTTTTCCATCACAGATGACACTAACCAGCCATAATCCCGATTTGCCAAACAAACTCCTACTCTCTCTGGACGACTAGTGAGAGAAAGGGTGAATCACATTTCAAGAGTTTAATTCCAAAGCAAACAAAAAACAAAGTGGGTTTTAAAGTCAAGCGCATTATGTTGTGAGTCATTCAATCCTCAGTTATAGTTCTATTCTAATAGTTCTATTTTTAAAAGCAGAACAACTTGTGTTTGTCAAAGCAGTAAGTAATGAAACCCAAAGTGTCACTTTTGCACCTTTATGGTAGTAATAAACATCTACTCCCTCGTCTTTGTTCGCTCTCCAGCTGCTGTTTAAGCTAGGTGTGCTCACTTTTGAATCAACGAAGAACAACTATTTGTTTCCATTTATGCAAATGTTGCGTTGGAGTTGGCGGAGGTCGGCCCGGCCAGAGGGCAGAGGGCCAGCCTGCTCTGCTACACTGGCAGCTCCCTTCGGAGGTGAGAATGAGCAATGCTGCTCGGCCTCTCTGCAGGATATCTCAGCACCACGGGGGGGGGGGGGACTACAGAGAAGATGTTAGGAGGTGGGCGGCGAGGAAGGCGGCACATTATGAGCCACACTTCCATGCAGATACCCTCAGATGGGACTGACATTTCTGTCGCTTGCACTGATAAAAAAACTGATTATTATTATTATTATTATTATCTTCCTCCCTTCAGTGCAGCCTGTAAATGCTATGCTATAATATCATTTTGTCAAATAAATACACCGTTCTGCAAAAAGGTGACTTCAGCTGTGGCCTGGTTTAGACAGAACATGCATTAACGCGCTGACTAATACGGCTCATTAGTATCAGGCACACATATTCACATTGTAGCAACACTGTGTGCAAAGTGAAGTGGATGAAGGGTCTGTTACTTTGTCAGAATAACAATAGAAATATTATTAATGTAGCACCAGCAGACTCTGAACACAACACAAGTCATGTTACTGGTTTGGAAATGATCCAGAGATAATCCATGACGGACTCCGTACAATGCAGTGAATTAGGTGCAAAGAAAAAAGTAAGGCGATTATTTCTTGATGACATTTTAAAGAGGAATTTCACGGCTGGAAAGAGGATCATTAAAAAGGTTGTCGATGTGGTGGTGAGATGCAATTATTGTTGCTCCCTTTGGTTCAAAAAAATGAGGGAGTGGGGTTGGGATGGGATTCCATCACAGGTTCCTAGTGCCCAAGGTGACGGCTTCAAATTGCTCGTCTTGTCCAACCAACAGTCCAAAACCAAAACATGTTCAGTTTACTATCAAAGAGAGACAAAACAGCAGCACATCCTCACATTTAAGAAGTTACTAAGGAGCTTCTATCAATTTTGCATGAAAGAATTAGTTGAAAGAATAATTCCTTTTCAAAATAGTTGCCGTCAGTCCTCTAATTGACTAATCAACAAATTATTCAGCTCCATAGGTTCAATATGTTCTTGCCAAGGCAAGATGCACTAAACTACAACATCTCCCATTTCTAACTAGAAACGCGTGTTGGGTGCACTCGCATTCACATTTATCCTCTCATTTCCAACAGATTTTACATCACTTCACAGGTTCAAATATAGTTCATGTTCACAAGTAATGGACCAGACCATCAACAGCCTCAGTATCCAGGCCTCCAGCATGACCTGCTCACCTCCTGTCCTCCTGTATTACATGTCAGCCCACATTCATCTCATTCTCAACACAAAAAGACCTGCGTATGCATTTCAGGGAAAGGTCTGGAACTGGGTTACTTTGTCTGTGGGTGTGTTTGAAGATCACACATCAAGACCTTTCAGATTGAAGGCTCTACTGGAGCATTAAAGATTTCAAAAACTGCACTTTTTGCTCAGGACAACATGACAGACATCTACCTTCATATTGTGATCAGAGTGATTTGAATGCAAACTGGGTGCCACAGTGACCTTTACAGCTGATGAGTATTACCGGCCACAGCCAAAAAAACTGCAGCAGTGTCTGGTGGCTGGCTTGTTAATACCTGCAGCTGATTTTAGCGCCTGTATCCCACCACATCCTCCTCTCTAACCTTGAGGCAGGGCACAGAGCCAGCCAGACTGAGCTGGTCCTTGTACCCTGACCTCATTGACATTTGCTCCATGTGACGGTCACACACTGCTGTTGTGTAAAATGATCAGGCTGCATGCACGGATGGCCCCTGGCACCATCTCAATCAGATGGGTGCTCAGCCGTCGGCACAGTCGTGCGCCGCCGGGCAGCGATGAAATCTGTCTACTGAGCCGCAGAGGGACCGGCTTGTTGGCAGATCACAGTCATCCCCGCATCCATATTTAATAATCTCGTCATGTAGAGCTCCGTGACAGACGCACTGACTGACCTGTTGCCTGCGGGATGTCGCAGAGCCATGCTCGGCTTCCGAGGCGGCGCTCTCCGGGGTTCTGCTCGCCTCCTCCGCCTGTGGCTCTTCGGTGTTGGCGGTAGCAGAGGCTCGGTCCTCCAGTGCGGTGTCCACCATCTCCAGGTGTTTGCACCTGAGCAGCTCCAGCTCCAGCACCCCGGCAAGCGTCGCTTTGAGGCGCTCTCCGATGCGGACGCGCTCGGTACCCGACCAGAGCGAGTTCATGCAACCGCGGCTGCCGGCCATCCTCGTCGGGGGTGCCGCCGGGCAGGCGGAACCGGGGCGCACCGCTGACCACCGCTCAGTTGCCGTGCAATTGATGAGAGGACTGAGTGGGCTATGGTGCAGCTCCGGGTTGAGCAACACGGGTCCGGACGAGCGATTGCAACATAGTAGCCGCTTGAATTAACGCGATACTCAAAATGTAATCACCATCTCTAACGTGCCATGCAGCCTACAGCTTCAGGCAGCCTGCTGACTGGCACAAGACCAGTATTAATGAATCCACCGGTACACTGACGGAACATCAACGAGCCGTGCCTTCATTTCCTGTTGACACGATCCTTTCTTAATGTCACTTAATAGCCTCCCGGTCCAGTGGAGTTACCATGGCGCGGTGCTCCTGAACGCAGCGTCCCCACTGAGACAATGCAACAGACTGACGGGGGGTGATAACGTTACATGTGGGAGCAGGCAGCGGGGAGGAGGAGCCGCTGCACCAGAGCTGCGCACGGATTGGACAGGGAAGTTTTTCGAACGGATCCACGCTTGTCCAACTCATACTTCCCCAAAGCAGGATACCAAAGCACACATACTCACATTCCTGTGGTGTTCCCATGAAGGTAGTGGGTTAACAAAGTGGCCTCATCATGCTCTGGGGTATTGTCATTTTGCACATGATACTACGTTTTTGGTGTAAACATGCACGCTGCAGTATCCCCCAAGGGCCCCAAAACTTAAACAAAACAACTTTGGTCTGGGAATGCAGCTTTTTCAAGACATTTTGAAAATAATAGAATTATAAATCGCTTCAGTTTCAGGGCCATGGTATCGTGCATGCTCTCTCACTGGGACACTTGGATGTAACAGAGACATCGTCGGTGTTGTTAGTAACCACTGTACTTTTTCTTAATTGCCTATGATGGAGTTAAAGTGTCTGCTGTGAAAAATGCCTATTTGCAGCACAAATTCAATATAATTGTTTCCCTTATCATGTGGCCCTGACTTTTACAACGGACCGGTGTCAACATGTCGTTTTAGAACATTATTATTTTAGTTTATGTTGTGTTGAAATGGTGTATAATCCTAAATCAAAGTGTCTTTGAGTACTATGAAAAGCGCTATATAAATAAAATGTATTATTATTATTATTATTATTATAAATAAAGCTCTGTTTAATCAAATTACCACACACTAATTGCCTAACAGCATATGTTTGCCTGGAGCCTTCTAAAATGTAAGAAGACTCAAAAGTAATGGAAATTATTAATATCATTATTATTATTAAATGTGTTGTCTACTCTTTGCTTTATTTGTACTATTTTGGTAAATAAAAACTTGATGGCAAATGCATTTATATTCTTTCCGTTGATGAATATCAAAATGTCAAAGTCCACAAAGTTTAAAAACCCCAAAAGCACAATTTTCAATATGAAAAAAGATCAGCCAATCATATATCTGTATTCTGAATGTGACAGGTGCAGTGCACTTTGCTCTAGTGCCACCTTTCAACCAGCAGAGGGTGATCTTCATCCACAACAGAGCCTCCGTCCCTAGCAATGTTTCTACAATTTGTTTTATATTGAATTAAACTGAATTAAACTATATGTACATTTACTTACCACATTATATCCTTAAACAGACAGCAGACAATGCCTTAATACATGTAGCTTGCCTCATTCAATCCTTTAAAAACAAATCAGCTGACAAAACTATATATCACATGATCTTCATTAGCACATAGTTTGCCCATCAGAGGAGGAAGATGTACTCAGATATTTTTACTGAAGTAAATACATGGTATAAATACTCAGCTACAAGTTAAAGTGATGATTCAAAGTTTTACTTAAGTAAAAGCACAAAAGTATTAGGCTCAAAATACCAAATACCAATCAAAGTACCAAATTAAAAGTATTCATCATGCAGAATGACCCATTTTTGAATAATTAATACCATGTTATTGGATTTTAAATGATAGATGTATTAGCTATTTTTGAAGCTGGTAAAAGCGGAGCTAATTTCAATTATTCAATATATGTTATCTGCTGGGCTGCTTGTTAATTTCACCAATCCATAAAGTGTTATCTTCTTTACAACATTACATCAAAACAATCTTGTTGATTATAATTAGTAGTATTAATCTGAGCCTGCAAAGTAGTTGAGTTGAGCAAAAAGTACAATATTTCCCTCTGAAATGTAGTGAAGTAGTATAAAGTGATATACAATGGAAATAGTGAATTAAAGTACTACTATCTAAAAATTGTATAGTATAGCATAGTAAGTATATATTATGTTAGTTACTTTCCACCACCACCCACTGATCAGACTTCAAGTTCTGCTTGGGAGGAAATAGAGAATAGTAAATGCGACAATGGGGAGTCAATAAATAGCAGATCAGAAAAACAAGAACTGGAAGATATTTACATCTTATTAGAGTTTAGAGATTCTGCACCAGAATTGAAACCTCCTCATCAACACTCCAGTCAGTGTTACGATTGATTATGATCATTCAGAGCGTAACTGTTATGTGGCAGGCATGGCCATCAGACAGTGAGGTCAAAGGTCAGAGCAATCTCATGATAAAAGTGCCACCAGGTTCCTCTGGGGTCCCCGTGTGTCTAAATCATTAATGTCATGTGGTGTTTATGCTCCTCACATGTTGGGCTGCCCTCATTCCGCTCCCTGCCTCATGTTTGTACCCCTCGGTGTGCCTGTGTACTTGACAGCAGCACCCAAAATCACCAAAAGATGTGAGAATGCCCAGTTAGATAACCAGTGCATGTGAACCTGCAGCCGCACACACTGCCCACCAGGACGAGAAGTGTGCCTTTGATTGTGTGTGTCCCATTTCGACTCCTCCCCGCCCCGTCCTCTATAAAACACCAGTGGTCTCAGCAGCATAGTGGGGTTTGCTGACTTCCACCCGAGGGGACTTTACCGTCAGCCCGGGCAAGACCGTCGCAGCGCCTCCATCACCGCTGGTCTCTGCAAACCGCCCTAAGCAACAAACAAACATGGCTCCTTTTGAGAAATCCATGGAGATGATGCCCTTTAAGCAAAGGAAATGCCTCGGTAAGTCACATTTGTTACTTGCTTTTGAACATTGAACTCACAATGTATGGATGCTGCATAAAACACTCCACTCTGTTTCTTTTTAGAAACAAGAAAAGATGAAGTGTGCACCATTCGGACTAAATTCCCCAACAAACTGCCGGTAAGTTGGTTTTCCATTGCATTTAATCATCAGTTTCACACTTTAAATTGCATGTGATGGCACCACCAGCTGACCCCAGATATGTGTTTGTGTTCAGGTTATAGTTGAACGTTACATCCGTGAAAAGACTCTGCCTTTGTTGGACAAAACAAAGTTCCTGGTTCCCTTTGAGCTCACCTTGGGTCAGTTCCTCTCTCTGCTCAGGTAAATGATTTGTGACTCTGTGTGCTCGTGGAACCAACAGACTTTCTCAAGGCTCCCACTCACTTCTCAACCAACTTGTTTTTGAGTTTTCTAGCCTTTTTCTCCTCAATCCAACCCTCCCTTCTCTCCACTTTCTCCCCCAAACTGTCAGATTTGCCATTGTTCTCCGCGTGCTTCCCTCATACGCTCTCCTCCTTTGTCCTAAAAATATGTTGTTTTCCATCCTTTGTCCACCTCCAACTGCCTCTCTAATTCTTTCAGGAATAAGATTTCATTGGAATCCACCCAGGCTCTGTTCCTCCTGGTGGCAGAGAAGAGCATGTCCTGCATGTCCTCCAGCATGGGGGAGGTTTATTCCCACCACAGCGACACTGACGGCTTCCTCTACATCACCTACGCCTCGCAGGAGGTGTTCGGAGCACCTCAACCAGCAGCCAGGCCGCACTGCTGAGCCTGAAGCAGATAAAATGAACTGAACCAACGGAAGTGACAACTAGCAACCAAACTGGAGGAGAAGAAAAAAACTAAGCAGCCACAAATTGCATTTCAGCCTACCTCATGAAACTTTCTGGACTTTCAAACACAGCAAATCTCTATTGCTGCATGCTCCTCAGCTCGCTAAAACCAGACTGGAGTGGACAAGACTCACCCTGATAATTTGTTGTAGACAGATTGATTGTTTGATTGGCAAATCAATACAGATGCAACAGTTGTAATCATTATTTTGTGAAGTTTTTTTGTCTGTTTTATGTCTTTACTGGGTAAAAAATGTAAATATTTGCTCTATAAATACATCAGAAACATTGAGCTTCAATGCAAACAAACCTGTTGTAACGTTGCTGTAATGCCAGTTCAGTGTAAAACCACGACCACCCTCTCCACTCTACACAAACAGGGTCGATGTCTCGCTGGTAATCAGACTCCTTTTCAGCACTTATCTCCCCTTCCTCCTCTCCTTTCGTTGATTGCCTCTTCATCCTCGTCTTTCCTTAAAAATGTGAAACTGTGCTGCGGACTCTTGAGGCACTCGTTGAAAACATGGATGTCATATTGAATGTTTTCAGCTGTCAGCATTGCAAAAAATAAATCCTTGTCCTTTCAATTTACTGACTTTGTGTGATATTTATGTTTACTTTATAAAAGGTATTGTGTTCAAACTTTATGTGCTGCTTTAGAAAGACAGAAATGTTCACTTTTTAGGTTTGAACTCCAGATGTTTGTAGTTCATTGCACAGAGCTTGAATGGGCTACAAATGTTGTCAAAGCACAGAGACACAGCTTAATCCTTCTTGTTAAATGAAAGCATCAAAAATAGACAATGTTATAGAAGGCTTTATAAGGTTAAACTTGTACTCAGATTGTACTGTACATGCCTCATTCCTCACCTGCCTCTGAGAAGCAGCACTCCCTCCACACGACTGTGTTGTATAAGCCCGACCCACTCAACTATCTGCAGGGGTCAGTGTGTCAGAGGGCCGACGGGATTATTTTTAGAGGTAGAAGTCACAAATGTGACTCAAAACAAGAGAAAGAGGCGGGGGGAGTGACGGGAATACAAATGAAAAACAAAGAAACTTAGGGACAAGCTGCTCTCCATAAACATGTGGAAGAAAAGGAGGGGGAAAGAGGACAGCAGCATCCTTACAGAGGACGACAGGAAAAAGGAAACCCTGTATAGGAGAGATATACAGTGGGGGAGTGGGACAGCTATCCAAACACACAGGGACGTACAGTCACTTCACACCACCGTGGGCATTCAAGCAGCTCTCTGTCAATATATTATCATACCAGAACAAGAGCAACCCTGAAGCTACTGCAAGCTGTGAATTATCTAATGGTGTCAGTACTAATGCTCATCAAAACAGACCGCGGTGGTTTTAGGTTAAAAACAGCAGCGGGGGAAAAGCAGAAGTGACCATGAGAATTATATAGCACAAGATTTTTGGAAACTTTGAATTACACTGTAAATATACATCATGTAGTCTCAAATATGAAGAAAAATTATAATTTTGTCTGTTTGTCTCATTCAAGACACCAAACCTAGATATTTCAACCACTTGTAAGTTTACGTTACAGCAAGCCACAGTAATGCTGGAAAGGATTTAACATCAGACAACAATTTAGTCTGCAGTAACAAACACTCAACATCTGACAGAAACCAAAAAATGTATTTAATGGATGGCATAAATAAGATGCTTCAGTCAGTCTCTTCTCTGATTTGCAAGAAAAGTCAGTTTCTAAAACATTTATTCGGTTAATATAGATATAAGAACATTTTAAAAATATTTGAATCTACTTTGTATCTGTTGTTACATCTTTATTATATATTTATTGCTGTTACTTGATAAATGTTATCCTTCTGATCACACATCTATCATGATCCTTAACTACGTCTGTATATACGAAGTCTGTACATGTTTTTTAACCGTCCTAAAGGACACAACTATACATTGTGTTAGAATTGGCTCTAATATGAGTCTATCCAGACACAATACCTGTAATAACTTATCAAGACACAAGAGAGCGCCTCTGGACTTTGTCAAAGTGAAATAACAGCTGGAGAACATGTGTTTCTGATTCCGACTGATAATCCAGTGAGTCAGTGTGCAGTTTCCCCCCACGGAGGGCTGAGTGTGCTGATGAGGGAGAGACGCATGACTGTGAGACGAGTGCAACGTGAAAATGAAACATTACATTGTGTTTTTTAGAGGATTGGTGCTCTCGTCCCAAAAATTGGAAAACAACCAGGTGATGTTTCGAAGTTGAGGCTAAAAGATGTACAACAAGTTACAGATGTGGAAAAATGTAAACAGACAATAAAGATATAGTGTGGGAGTGTGTCTATATAATCTTTGGCCTTGCATTAATAACCTGGATGCTGCTCCTTAGAGTAACAAGATTCCTTCAAATCTACCATCAACCACTGATATAGATTTCACTTTCTTATACCTACATCTTATTTGAGTTATGCAAACACACCTCAGAGCAAATTCATACTGGCTAAAGTTATACAACTGAGCAGGTTAACAATTGGAACGTAAAGGGAAATTATAAGCAGCCAGTTTCATCTTTATTCAGACTCTCAATATGACTTTAATAAAGCTACCGCTTCCTGTCTTTCTGTTTATAATTTGTGCTCATCTGCTTGAGCCTGGACTGAATTTATAGCTCTCTAAATTGTCTCCATGTGTCCTGAAAAATTCTCCAGAGAAAGTCACAAGTGTCTGCCTGGTTTCAATATGCAGAGGCCACTTGTATCGTGGAGCAAATGACCTTATATGTCCTGTGGCGGTGCAGTCGGTGACTCTCTCTCTCTGTCCTACAGAGGGCAGTACACCACATTGGAACCATCAAAATGAGAACGTTTCAAAATAAAACTCAGTGTTGATGACCTCTGGGTGACACAGTCCTTGACGTGGCCCTAAATGACACATTAAAGCCACACAACCAGTATGTTCCCCAATTCTAACCAGCGCCTCTTCCAGTGAGACTTTCTTCTGTGAGTCAAACATCTGATGAACTCCAATCAATGTTGTATATCAATAAAAATCCACATTACCACGAGTCAGATGGTACAGTAATCCTTTTTATTTATCTGGCAAAATAATAAAAAGGGAAGCATTTGGAAAGAGTCAACGTGAACAGTCAGGAAATACAAAAATATAGATAAAACAATTATAACAGCTGTTTTGATTTATTTCCTCTTTCACTCTCGAAATGGAAAACAAAAACCTCTATATTTCTTTGGATCAACATATAATAATATGGACTGAATGCTTAGAAGACATCTTTTACACAGGATGCACAAATCCATGTTCAGCCCCATCATACAAACTCCATCTACCCATCAGTTCACGATCTTGTCTTTTCATCAGTTTGCACCCCCCCCCCCCCAATTGATTTCTAACATATACCTACATACTATCCCCAAATGCACAAAGATGGACCTGCCCACCCTCGCACCTCCCCCCTGATCCCCTCCAGTCTCTCTCTGGTGAAAAAGATCACAGTGATACCTCCTCGTGGTGCGTCAGGAAGCCTGGAGACTCACTTTGACGGAGGACGATGCTGTTCATGCTTGTGGTTGGACTTTTCTTCTGGAGAGTCCTGAACATGATGCAAAGCGTTGACATGGCTGGTCTCTGGGCTGCCCCCTCCCGTCTCTTCCTCTAGTCTTCCATGGCTGTCTCGCGTTTGGACGGGGGGATCAGGTGTCTAGGGAGCGCGGATGGCAGCTCGTGGCCCTCCAGCTTCACTTTGATCAGGTGGTTGGCCAGGGCGAACTCGTCGTCATCGAGGAGGCCATCTTTATCCACGTCCGCTAGCTTCCAGATCTTTCCCAGGACCGTGTTGGGCAGCTTGGACTTCAGCATCTCCTTCTTGGCTGTAGCGCCGGACACTTTGCCGTTGATGGGAGAGAGGGTGTAGAAGATCTCATCGTATGTGGGCTTATCGCGACCCACCACCCACTCCAGCTCATCGATGCCTTCGCTGGCACCCTCTCCATAGCCGTGACCAAAGGGTCCATTCATGGTTCCCTCAAAAGCTCCACCCTTGACAGACTGGCTGGGCATGGCGGCCTCTTCCTGGCGCACCAAGGCCATGAGACGGGCGATGTCGTTGGCCAGCATGTCCTCCACAGCCTCCAGCAGCTTGGGCTTCAGCACTGAGAACTTAGAGAAGTCCTGGCCGTTCAGTTGATCCTGAAGGGACGGGGACGGGGGGGTTGAGAGAAAACAGGAATTGGTGATAGAAATAGATCAGTCTTCAATGGCTACCAATGGGTGCAGCATACAAGAAGCAGGATTTCCTGACAAACCAGGAAAAATAAATCTTATCCCCGTCCTGGCCCATCCTGGAGGGCAAGGGCAGGAAAGAAGGGCAAAGATGTGAAGAGAGTAAAGGTTGGAAGGTCATTCTACTCTGAACCCTTAGCTTCTTACACACTCCATGTAGCACGCCAAGACGTTTTTTCATCAAACATGTAACACTGACGGTTCGTATGATACTCTACTGAAATGTACTCATTTTGTGTGCCTTTTCTTACAAAATCCAGCAACAAGTGTCAATTTCCACTCGTTACATGCATACAGTCTTTTCAAAATAAACTTTCACCTTTACAGGAAACTCGGTTAGGTTTGGGCAACAAAACCACTTAAGTTAAGTTTAGGAAAAGATGGTCGTTTGGGTTAATATACCCACGGAAGTGCTGTCACTAAGTACGAAAGTTACATGACACAATCATCAACGTTGACTTCTTGTTGACTTCTTGTTTCGCGCTGGGAATAAACAGCAGTCTCTTCTGTTTCTTGGACCCATCCACCTCGCCTACCATCCGCCCTGTGTGAGATTTACTGGCTTTTATTCTTCCTCATTCATGAATAACATACGAATTATGTATCTATTATAGCGAATTGGTTTTTCGTCACTTTTCCAACAAATGCTGGATGAGAGCAGCCTGCACTGAATGGTACATCACAGTCTGCTGTGTAGGTGGATGGATTCATCTTCTTTTTTTTGTTTTAATCATACCTGCATCTTGGCCAAGTTGGGGAAATCTCCAGGTGAGATCTGGTGCTCCTTCTCAATCTTATGGTAGATCTCTCCCAGGTTGGCTATCAGCTCCTTCTTCTTGGAGTCCTTCCCAAACACACTCGGCATGTCTCTTTTCAGAGAGCTGATAATGTAGGCCTGAACCTAGACACCATGAAGGAAACAGAACAGACATGCTTTAGGTGATTATTGAAACCAATTCATGACGTGATTGAGTAAACCGAGTTAATGGTCCTCTATGCAACTGTGATGTGGAAACATACACAGAGTGAAGGACTGAGTGAGGAATGAAACATCTCATGTCCAGCAGTTCAACTTTTAAAAAATGATTTATAGATGCCAGATGTTTCATGGGGCAAAAGGAGCAGATGCAATTTTAAGGGCAAGTAGTTATCAAAATATTTAGTTAATCAAGCTAAGCTTTTTGTGGAAAAACCCTATCAGAGTATTTCATGTGTTTCTTGGGAAATATGCATATAGATGTGTAGCAGAGGTAACAAATAATCCCTCTTCCCTTCTGACAT